ATATACATATATTTATATATTCTACAAATATATAAGCTTTAAAGAGGATATTTGTACATGGGTAACCACAGGTAAGAAATGGTACAACTGTTGTTGCATGGAGGGGATTGCAATCATTGAGATGAAACAAAGTGTATGATTTGTTGAATATATAGCTAATGATCTTGTTTGCAAATCTTCACTCAACTCACACTTAATAAATTAATAAAACACCAGTGGCATAGCTTCCAACATCACAGAAACATACCAGCCACCAGAGTAGACAAACTGAGAAAATGAGTGGTGGGAAAGCAGAGAAGATGCAACCAATAAAGTCAGAACAGAAACTCATGGATGACTTAGATCAGAATCAACAAAACCTAAAAAAAACTCATTGCCGTCGAGACAATTCTAACTCTTAATGACCCCGCATAGGGTTTTCAAGACCATAAATTTACATGGAAGCAGAAAGTTTCATCTTTCTCCCAGAGTGACTGGTGGGTTTGAAATGCTGATCTTGTAGTTATCAGTTCAGTGTTTATCCTCCAGTACCACATTCTCCCAAAATAACCCTCCTCTAGCATAGTGGTTATGAGTCTCACTACTAACATCAAAGTCAACAGTTCAAAACTACCAGTTGGTCCATGGAAAAAAGATGCGGCTTTCTAATCCCGTAAAGATATACAGCCTTGGAAACCCTAAGTAGGGTCACTATGAGTCGGAACCAACTCCATAGCACACAACTACCAACACCATATATAATTAGGAGTCCTGGTGTGGCTCTGTAGGATAAACACTGGACCGTTAACTGCCAAGGTCAGAGGTTCAAACCCACTAGGAGCTCCTCAGAAACTCTACACACCCATGGTATGAGTCAGAACCAACTTGCCAGTACTTAACTACAACAAAATATAATTAGACCACTAGATAAATCTGAGTTTTAGAAATGCAAATGATTATATTAATAAACAAATGAGTTGATATAAGCGAAGATCAGCCTTATGTTTATAAATTATGAAGAGTAAGATTAAAAGAACAGTATAAGATCTTAAGAACAAGGTATGTTGATCAGGAGAAGTATAAGCACGTAGAACACTTTAGATAAAGGAGCACAAATTTAAAAGAATACGCAACGCTAATGAGTTGATATGGTAGGTATGCCAAGGACACAGTGTAAAGAGACATTTGTTGAGTTGGAGGTATAAAAGAATAACTTTCTTATTATTACATGCACATTGAAACTACTATTTAAATAACATGCCTCATCATTGGACTTAAAAAAAGGCCCTTTCTCCAGTGTAGAAAGGAAACAGGTAAGAAATCATATGTGTGAACCCTCAAAGAAGTTTTCAAAAAACTTTAGGTTATTTGTTAGGGCTCAAACATCACTATTTTACAAATGAGCCAGGGAGGAGGCAGGATCATCAAAGAGGAAAAAAAAAAAAAAAGAAAAGAAAATACAAGAGATCCGGGCCATATGAGCAAAGCATTTGGGTTTGGAATCTTTCTAATATCGTAGACACTAATACATGGAGGTTGACTATCTTGGGAACTTTATTTTAGATGCCAATTTAATTTACTAGGATTCTGGATCATAATCTGTAGAAACTAAAAAATACAAGTCACAAACACCTTTGTTTATTTCATCTGAAAAACCTTGGGCATAAATGCACACACTCACATAATTTCTCACCTGAAAATACCTGCCCACTTTTTTAGCAGAGTTTCACTATACTGGTCTCTGATTTCTAACAGCATGTCAAAAAGTTGATTGACAGGAAAACCATACACCTGAAATAAAAGAACAAAGTAAATTTATTTTCTAAGAAGACCTTTTAGCAACATGAGGAAGATTAAGTACTGAAAGACAAATTTTTGCTCTTTGGCCAACAATTTTAATGAGACCATGATGGTACAATCTTTCATTCAACCAAATACCTAGTTTTTATCTCAAAAATTAAAAGATAGTGTATACCAAATTGTTTAGCCAGGAAAAATAAAGAAAAAGATGAAAATTAAAATCAACATATACTGGGTACACTGCCACTCTTCTTGCAACTCATTCCCTATAGCAATCATGATGAAAGAAAGGAAAACTCCTACCAACCTCTCCCGCGTCTAACGCTGTTCTCTTGGGTATAAAACCTGTATTCATTTGTAAGGAATTCTGGTGGTACAGTGGTTAGTGCATATGGCTGAAAACTGAAAGGTTTACAGTTCAAACCCACCAGTTGTTCCACGGGAGAAAGATATGACAATCTGCTTCCATCAAGAGTACAGCCTTGGAAACCTTATGGGGCTGTTCTACTCTCTCCTGCAGGATCACTGTAAGTCAGCACACACTTCAGAGCAACAGTTTTATTTTTTGAAATGTTTGTATCAAGATGGGAACTAAGAAACACCAAAGTCATTTAGGCATTTATCTAAATAAAGAATATCCTAAAAAACTCAGGCAGTTTGTGCTTCAATGAACTGATGTGATCTGAATAAATGGGATAGGAAGAATTTATGGGAACATAAAAGGTCAGGGTGACAACCGAGAAATGCTACAGAGGAAAAAAAAAAATCTCGCTATAGGAAACATAAATGAAAATGAAAAGGGCCTTAACTGAACCTTAGGTTGAGTCAATCTTTTTAGCCACTGAAGAGCTGACAAACCCCTAACCTAGATGAATGCATGTTAACAGACGTCACATACCTGAAGTGTGTCAGCAAAAAGCACAATGAGGTTCTTCAAATCTAACACAAGGTTTGGATCAGAGCAGTAAGACTAAAGGAAATAAAACACAGAGGAAAAGAAAACATCTTTATGATTTAAAATACAATTTTGATATATTTAATTGTTTAATGCATCACCTGGTGAAAACACCCTAGAAAGGGTCCTACCTTTTCTTGGTATAAGGTACAACCTTATTCAGCCAAGGAAAAGTTAAGGTAGAAAGAGTTCAGTACACCATGATCTATAATTTTTATACTTGAAAGGGAAAAAAAAACATGCTTCTAAGTAACGCCTCAGTTAAAGAACAAAGCACAATTGATATTATAGATTATTTTAAAATAAATTACTTCACATTAATGTCTATAGTATGTGACTCAAGTAATTTTCAAAATAAAATTTACATCAATATATGCAAATATTGCAAACGTTAAAGACTGAATAAGTAAGGATTTACTAATGAGCTAGAAAAAGAATGAAAAAATTACAAAATAAATGAAAAATGCAATTAATAAAGTTAAAATCAGAAACTTAGAGATTTGATCAAGGAAACCATGAGTTAAAAACAAAATCTATAACACACACAAATCTTTGGCAAGCCTAATTAAATAAAAAGATTTTTTTAAAAAACTAAGTGAAACAAGGAATAAGAGAAAAAACAAAGATAAATGTAGAAGAATACAAAAATTACTAAAGAAGTCCATATATAATCTAATACTGTCAAATTTAACTTTATGGTGTTTCCGAGGCTGGTGGGTTTGAACCACCAACCTTGTGGCTTGCCGTCCTGTGCTTATCCTACAGAACCAGAGCACACCCCTTATTCCTAATTTATACTAACATAATTGTTTTGTATAATTATTTTGTATTAATGAAACTAACTATATATCAATCTACAATTCTTTAATAATTTTCATGTAAATTCCTTTGGGTTTTCAATGTACAAAATCATACCGCCTTCAAATATGAGAGTTTTGTTTCATCCTCTCAAATTTTATGCTTTTATTTCTTTTTCTGTCCTTAAAACACTGGAAAGACTTAAATATAAAACAGAATAGATATGGTAACAATATTTTACAGAGAAATTTGGGAATACTTTTTATCAATTTTAAGGTATCAATTTTATCTATCTCTAATTTAGTAAGGAAATTTGTCATAAATAAATTTATCACATCATAAATGTATATTGTATGAAAGTATGGCAGCAATTGTGAGGTTGGCCCAGGACCGGGCAGTGTTTCATTCTGTTGTGTATAGGGTCACTATGAGTTGGTATCGACTCGATGGCATCTAACAACATGTCAAAAAAATATTGCTGTAAAACATTATTGTTGTTGTTAAGTGCCGTGGAGTTGGTTCCAACTCATTGAGACCATGTATAGGGTTTCTAAGGCTTTAAATCTTTATGGAAACAGAAAGCCTCATCTTTCTCTTATGGAGCATCTGGCAGGCCCAAACTGTAACCTTGTGGTTCTCAGTCCAGTGCTTAACCTATGTAGCCACCACGCTTCATAATCGTAGATGTCTTTATTGAACAAAAATATCAAAATGTTAAGTTATTGTTTCTCAACACATCCTCCAGCTAGATCTATACACTTTTGAAGGCTGTGTTTCCATCTCCCTAACCCCTCCTTTTGTGGCGCTGTAGGATAAAGCACTGGATTGCAAGGTCAGTTTGAACTACAAGATCAGCAGTTCAAAGTCACCAGAAACTCCTCAGAAACCCCATACAGGATCACTGTACGTCAGAACTGACTTGACCACAATTAACACCACCACCAACAAAAGCCCTTCCCCAAAGAATTCTGTGCTTTTAAATTTACGCCACAGAGAAACAGTTTGGGCATCCCCAAGAGATTAAAATAATGTGCTTTTGTAAATGTTCCTTGAATTTGGGGAACAACAGCAGAAACGTATGAAGAGGCAAGAACAGGGCTGTAGGGTGAATGTGGTAAGGTTTTCCAATTAAATTCTCACAGGATAGCCCTTGCTACCCTCAAAGACTGCACAGGTGTACTTTTCATGATGGAAAAAAATTTCTGGTTGCAAATTTTCTGATCTTTTTCTCAACAATGCAGTGTTTCAATTTCTTCAAAATAAGCCCCCATGACATCCTATGTCCTTTGAGAAAATCTAGCAAGATTACCCTTTTTGAGTACTAAAAAGCAATCACCATAATCTTCTAAAGTGACCACCCTCCCTTGAATTGACCTAGCATATCAGATCCCTTTAGAAGCCACTGTTTTGATTGTTTTTTGTGTTTGTTTTGGTTTTTTGAGGGCACCCTGAGGTGACTAAGCCAAGTGTATTACTGACAGAACTTATCTGCAATGATCCACTGATCATACAGACATGCTTTAACATGTTTTCTTTGGAATAAACCCATGCAGGTACAAACTGGAGCCCAAGTAGTATGCTTTCTGACTTACCCTTGTATTTTATTAAATATTTTTCTGCCATCTATTTAAATTATATCTTTTTTGTATTTTAATCTGTTAACTAATAGATTCTATAATACTGACTCAAGCCTGAATTTCCTAGAATAAATCCAACTTGATAAAGTATCGTTTTTAAAATAAATAACAGGATTCTGATTTTTAATATTTTGCTTTGGATTTCTGAACCACTTTTGAATGAACATGACCTATAATTGTGACTTTATGAGTTCTATACTATTCTCATCTGGTTTCAGATCAAGATTACATAAATTTCATAAAATGAACTGGTGATTGTTTCTCCTTTTTAATTCTGTGAGAGTTTATGTAAGAGAGGAACTACCTGGGCCTAGATTATTTCTTTCAACCAAGAACTTTGTCTTCTTTTTTTGTTTTTTAAGTTCAGGCTCACACATCCTGAAAAGAACAGTCCTAGCCAACTAAACGTAGAAGGGCAACATATTAGATTCATTCCCTTAGGTGGACTCTTGTTAACTGCCATCGAGTCGGTTCCAACCCATAGTGATCCTGTATAGGGTTTCTGAGGCAAGAGTGGTTAGCCTAATCTGCTGACCTGGCAGTTCAAACAGCTTTGCAGTCTGGCGCATCAACCCACAGCACCACACCAGGACACCAAAACTCTAAGGGATGTCAAAAGCTGAGTTCCAGTTGTCTAGAATAACAAGTGACTTCCAGACAAAGATGGCATGAGTGTTTAGCCTAATTTTCTGGATGTTGTTTTTTCCTTTGTTTTGGTCCAGTATCCTTACGAAATACTTTGAGTCCTGAAGAATACAGCATATATACATATACATGTTGTTGTTAAGTGCCGTTGAGTCGATCCTGACCCATAGTGACCCTGTGTAGGGTTTCCAAGGAACAGCTGGTGAGCTTGAACCACCAACCTTGCAGTTCAAATGGCTTTGCAGTCTGGCGCATTAACCCACAGCACTACACCAAGACACTCTCTCTATATCTATCTATCTATCTATCTATCTATCTATCTATCTATCTATCTATCTATCTATCTATATAGAGCTCTGGTAGCATAGTGGTTACGAATTGGGCTGTGAACCGCAAGGTCAGCAGTTCGAAACTACCAGCTGCTCTGTGGGAGAAAGATGAGGCCTTCTGCTCCCTGTATAGGGTCACTATGAGTCAGAACCGACTCCACGGCACATAACAACAACATATATATATATACACATGTTATACCATAACACACCATATATATGTTGTTGTTAAGTGCCATTAAGTCAGTTTCAACTCATAGCAACCCTGTACAGAGTTTCCAAGGAGTGGCTGGTAGGTTTGACTTACCAACCTTGCAATTAGCAGTCCAGTGCTTATCCTAAAGTGCCACACCTACATTGCCAGGCAAATCTAACCTTCTATGATTCTAAAATAAAAAATGTCTGTTATTTTATAAATTTCCCTACTAGTCTATATATTATTTCTATTTTCCACAAAGAAGAAATCCTGCCTGTTTATCTTTGTTTTCTATTTCATGGAACTGCCTTTACTACAATATTTTATGAATCTTGAAAGTTTGTTCGTATATTTGAAAAAAGAAGTAGATTGATAAGAATGAATAACTGGTATTGGTATCTTCCTTTGCATTTGTAAGTCTGTTTTTAAAGAGACTTACTACAGGCTCTTTGTAAGTGGTCAGGGCAGATGAATCACTCTGTTCAAAGAACAATACTAGGATGATGTTAGCAAGATGAAGTAGACAGCCCCAAGCTCTTTTCCCTACATAAAAATAGTGAAAAACAAGAAGAAACTGTCAGAATCAGAAACAACTTGGTAGGAACCCTGAAAAATAGTCAAAGGTGTATAAATAAATCAAACAACAGTTGAACTTTTCACATGCTATACTCCACCCTGCCATGGCTCAGTGACCATCTTGAAGAGAATAACCTGAATACTCAGCATAGGACACTGGTTCTTAGTTCTGGAAGGAGCAAAGCAAAGTTATTTGAAAATTAGTGTGTTTTTCTGTTCTAGTTTGTACAGCGGCTACTTGAAAGATTGATACAAGATGATTGTTTCTTTTTAGCCAATTTGGAATTCACTCAGAAAAGCAACAGGCATTGCTCAAAACACTACGGCAAATGGACATATCTGTAAGTTCCTAGGCAAATAATATTGCAATATAAAAAAGGTAGATAAGATATATGCAAAACTTCTCGACAAAACCCTAGTAAACTGAAAGCAACAGCATATTAAAAACATTATATATCATAAACAAGTAGGATTTATCCAAAGAATGCAAGGGTAGTTCAACATAAGTAAATCAATAAATATAGTACAGATGGTAGTGGTGGTGGTATGCTGTGGAATCCATTCTGACTCACAGCAACCCTACATACGGTTTCTGAAGCTGTAAATCTTCATGGGAGCACAAAGCCTCATCTTTCTCCCAAGGAACTACTGGTAGATTCAAACTGCTGACCTAGTGCACAGTCCAGCTAGCAATCTACTACACTACAAGAACATTAACAGAATGAAAGGGGGAAAATCTGCAAAATCATCTCGATGGCAACAGATAAGTCATTTGACAAAATCCAATTTCCTACCCTTTCATGAATAAAAAGAAAAAATTTAAACACTCAGCAAACTAGGAATAGAAGGAAAAATTAACAATATGATCAAGGGCATTTATGGAAAAATCTACAACTAGTACTGTACTCAATGGTGAAAATCTGAAAAGCTTCCCCCTATTAGCCGGAACCTACTCCACGGCACATAACCACCACCACCAAGATCAGAAGTATGGCAAAGATCTTTGATTTAATTCCTGAAATTCAGTATTGATATGGACTGAGGGATGACCACTAAACCGCAAGGTCTATTTGAACTGCAAGGCTGTCAGTTCAAACCCATTAGCCATTCCTTCTGAAACCCTATATAGGGTGGTCACTAATGAGTCAGAACCTACCAAATGGCACTTAAAAACATTAACAACGAGAAGTTCTAGCCAGAACAATTAGCAAGAAAAAGAACTAAAAGGCATCCAAACCAGAAAAGAAAAAGGGAAAGTATCTCTTGTAGTTACAGATGACATGATCTTATAAGATAGGAAATCTCAAAGAATCCTTAAGAAAGTGGCTTTTATTGCTGTTGTTTGTTTGCCATCAAGTCAACACCTGCTTATCGTCACCCTATATAGCACAGTAGTTATGAATCGGGCTGTTAACTTCAAGGTCAGCAGTTTAAAACTATCAGTCATTTCATGGGAGAAAGATAAGGCTCTCTGCTCCAATAAAGACTTACAGCCTCGGAAACCCTATACAGGGTGGCTATGAGTCTGAACCACCACTACCATTACCACCGCCACCATATGACAGAGCAGAACTGCCCCGTATTGTTTTGCAGATTCTAATCTTTATGGGAGCATGTCACCAAGTCTTTTCAAGTGGCTTCAAAGTACCAACCTTTTGGGTAGCAACCAACTGCTTAACCATTGTGCCACCAGGACTCCTTACAAAAACGCTACTAGAGTTAATAAATAGATTTACATGGTTGCAGAACACAAAATCATTACACAAAAATCAGTTTTATTTCTGCACATTAGTAATGAACAATTTGATGATAATATTGAGAAAGAAAATTCCAATTACAATAGCATCTAAAATAATATAATGCCTAGGAACAAATTCAAGTTAGGAGACAAAGAACTTACGAACAGAAAACTATAATACATTGCTGAAAGAAATTAAAGAAGACCTATACAAATGCATGCGAAAGTTGGACAGTGAATAAGAAAGATTGCAGAATTCATACATTTGAGTTATGGTGTTGGAGGAGAATACTGAAAGTGCCACCGGCTTCCAAAACAACCAACAGATCTGTGTTAGAAGAAAAGAAGCCAGAGTGCTCCTTGGAGGACAGGATGGCCAAACTTCATCTCTCATACTTTGGACATATTGTCAGGAGGGACCAGTCGCTGGAGAGGGATATCATATTTGGTAAGGTGGAGGGTCAGAGAAAAAGAGGAAGACCCCCACGAGAAGTAGTGATAAAGTGGCAGCATCAATGAGCTCAAGTGTGGCAACAATTGTGAGGTTGGCCCAGGACTGGGCAGTATTTTGTTCTGCTGTGCATAGGGTGACTATGAGTTGGTACCGACTCAATGGCACCTAACAACAACAAAATACAAATGGAAAGGCATTTCATCATGTTCATGGACTGAACAACTTAATATTGTTGAGATGTTAATATTATCCACAGCAATCTACAGATTCAATGCAATCCCATCCAAATACTGACAATGTTGTTTTGCAGAAATGGAAAAGCCAATTCTCAATTTCATCTGGAATTATAAGTGGACACAAACAGTCAAAAGAATCTTGAAAAGGAGCAAAATTGGAGCACTCATCCTTAACCATTTCAAAACTTACTACAGAGCTACAGTAGTCAAAATAATGTGGTACTAGTACAAGGATCAACATATAAATAAATGGAATAGAAATGAATTTACAAAGCATCTATAAATCTAGGGCCATTTTATTTTCTTTTTTGGAGGTGTGGATGGTGGGGAGTGTGAGGGTAGGAAGTGGGTAGGAGTAATCAAAAAGGGTTAGGATTATGATTATGGCTAGGTCTAGGACTTTATTTAGTGTTAGGGTTATGGTTACAATTAGAGTTAATATTAGAGGAAGGATTAGGCTTGGGCTAGGAGTAAGGGCTGGTATACTTTTTAGGGTTACAGTTTTGTTTATTTGTACTTATTTTATATTTTCTTGAAGTCTATTTAATTTGCTTCTCATTTGGAGCAATTATTCCCTCTTTTTACTTTATGGTGGTGGTGCTGTAGTAACTGTATCTCTAGTTTTCTATTTTCAGTCTTATAGGTGTCTCCTGTAAAAATTTACAGCCTCAGAAAGCTTATAAAGGTGGTCACTGTGAGATGGTACAAGATGACATTATTCTTGGTAAAGTGGAAGGTCAATGGAAAAGAGGAAGATCCCCAATAAGACAGATTGGCACAGTGGCAGCAGCAATAGGCTCAAGTGTGACAACAATTAGGAGGATGGCACAGGAATAGGCAGCGCTTTATTCTGTTGTGCGTAGGGTTGTTAGAGTCAGAACCAACCTGACAACACCTAACAATAACAACATGAGCTGGCACACCACCACAAATCTGTTTTACTTTGCACATTTCTATCTGAGTGTTATTGTCATGTATGTTAGTCTCAGCTTGTTGTTTTCTCTTGCTGATTCTCTGTCCAAGGAACCCCCATTAGTAATTTTTACCAAGTCTTTACTAAAATTAACCTAATTTTGCCCTCATAGTTATGGAAAATTTTGCTTTGTTTTTTCCCTTCATGGTTTTATCTTACTGCCTATATGGTTTCTGCTGAGAAATTGGAGCTCAGTCTTATTAGTTCTCTTTTAAAGTAAATGCATTTTTTGAGCTGCTCTCAAGATTCTTTCCTTGTTTTTGGTTTTGCAAAGTTTGATTATTATATGTCTTCATGCTTTTCTTTGGGGATCTGTCCTGTTTGGAGTCCATTCAATTTCTTGAAACTTTCTCATCTTTCATGATAAAAGATAAATTTTCTTCCAACAAGTCTTGAACAATATTCTCTATGTTTATTCTTTTTTTTTGGTCTTATCCTGTTCTGGAATTCCAATTACACATAGGCTATTTCTGAAATCTTATGGCTTTCTAATAATGTTAAAGTGCTTGATACTGGTTTCCGCTATCTACTAGTATAATATAGACATTTAAGTGGGATAGAAAGGAATATTGGGAAATATGATTACAGAAAGCTTGTAAGCCCGTCTTCAGCCTATAACTGATTTATTGTTGCTGTTAAATGCTGTGGAGTTGGTTTCAACTCATAGTGACCCTGTATAGGGTTTCTGAGGAGCAGTTAGTGAGATTGAACCACTAACCGTGCGGTTCAAACTGACTTTCCAGCCCAGCGTATTACCGCAGCATCACACCAAGACTCTTATAACTGATTCGATTAACGTGCCCAGAGAAACAGGTTTCTTGTTAAGCCTTTGTGGGATACGGGGTCTTAAGAGGAATCCTGAGGCCCATCCAAAACATTCAAACAGCACTTTCTAATTACAGCACTAAAGTTTACTAAATAGTAAGTATATAATCAGCTCTAAGAACATCTCTTGGGCTTCTTACATACCGAATGAGTACGGAGTGCTGCGATGGTTTTTGAAAGTGCCATTTCCCATAGTTCATCAATGTAGGCTCTATTTACTAAGCCTTGAGTTGTATGCAAAATGTGATCTTCAACCACAAAAAAGCTAAGATTGAGGAAAAAAGAAAAATGATCTATTACAAACTTTGATTACTGTCTCCAGGGTCTGATGGGCATTAAAAGCTACCAACAATAAAAAGTTTAAAAAGTTGTCAATCTGTTCTTAAAGAAAGCTGTTTAATATAATAAATAATATTGGACCCCATAAACTTATAATTATTTCCATCTTCATGATATCTTCTTAAATTGAAGTCACATTTCTAACTAAAATGTTACATATATTATCGAGCAATTTAAAAGAGAGGAAATATTTATAAGTAAAGATGGCTAATTTCAATATATTAAAGCACCAGGCCAGCAACACATTAAAGAAATTAATAGATTTTAAAGGGGCAATGAAAGCTAAAGCATGTATTTTCATTATGCAACATACAAAATATCAAAATAACTCCCTTCATAAGAACACTCACCCACATATTGAAAAATATTTTACAGAGGTTTAAAACAAAATGCAAACTTATTTTTAAATATTCGGCAACAATTATCTTGAATTATTTTATATGAGTCTTCAGACTAATTAAAATAACTTTAAATAAAAATTAAAAATTAGGATACATTATGACCAAAAGTATCAATAACATTAAAACAATCTAAATCTGAAAGAAAATAAAGAAACTTGAAGGAATAATTCAACTCAATCTTCATTCTTTAAACTACAAAGTGATTGTTTTACCAATAGAAAAAGCTTGCATTTTAAAGGTTTATTTGAAAGCTGCAGCCCTATATTAGAATATATTCTAGATTATGGTGGCAAATTACAGTCCATGGGACAAATCGAGCCCACAGTCTTTTGGTAAGTACTGTTTTATTAGAGCACAGCCAGTGTCAGTCAGTTAGTTAGCAACCATTGCTGCTCCAGTACCGCAACAGCCTAGTGTAGAAGATGCACAGGAGGCTGTTGCTGTGTGGTCTGCAGGGCCTGAAACATTTACGATCCGACAACTCATATGAAAACAACAACAACAAAACGCCAACTTTTGCAGATTATCTGGTTCACTCATAAAGAAGGGGAAAAATGAAGTACTATAAGATTACAATTCCACATTTTTCTCCCTTAGTCACCAAACGCACTAGCCAATAATATGATACTGTTAAAGCCAATAGAATGTTTCTTTTAAAAGCTCAGATAATAAAAAAACAACTATGCCTTTTTAAAGGAATTTTTAAGAAGAAAAACAATTTCCCAAGGAAAATTTGTTTATTTTTTAAAATATCACAAATCTACCTAATGAAAAGATATACATTTAAATATATATGTATATACATATATACATACCCTACAATTTGATTAAAATATTTCCGGTAGCCATCTAAAGTTTCATGCTGCAACAAAGCAAAGAAGAAAAAGTTATTGTTTCTGTTTTGTTATAAGACAAAGTTAAAATCAGTTATTTAATTCTTAAGGCTCTATTCCCTAGACTACAAGGCACATATAACAGAACCTCCTTTACAGGGTAGCAATGAGGCTGAAATGAGTCAATAGATATCCAGTATAGAAAAATGTCTGATACATAGCAGTCAATGGAAGTTGGCTATTTTCTACAAGTCACACACACCAAAAATGGTCTCACTGTGACAGGAAAACAAACACATACAAAATAATAAAAAGATGTCAGTAAATCATCAGGCAAATGGGCTGAAGAAAAGTGAAAGTGGTAATCCTACCATATTAGATGGAGGCTGGAGCACTAAACGGGCTTGTTTTCGTCTCTGTTTTCTGTAGTAGTTCTCAAATGTTTCCCGGGCACCCTATAAAACCAACAAAAGAAAATAGGTTGACATAATTAGGCCAATGTTTCTATTATTTCAAAACACAAGAGAAGTTCCCAGATCTGGAACTGTGGCAGTTGTTGTTGTTGTTGTTGTTATGTGCTGTGGAGTCGGTTCCGACTCATAGCGACCCTGTATAGGGTTTCCAAGGCTGTAAATCTTTACGGGAGCAGAAAGCCTCATCTTTCTCCTGCGAAATAGCTGGTAGTTTCAAACTGCTGACCTTGTGGTTTGCAGCCCGATTCGTAACCACTACGCTACCAGAGCTCCTTCTACATTTCTCAAAATCTATTTAGCCAATAATAAAAAGAAAAATCAAAGAAAAATAACAATACTAATTATTGCAATCCCAGGGTGGATACATAAAATCCCTATGAGGAAATTACCAGAATTCAATCACCAACACACCAAAGCTAATTTCTCAATCAACAGGACTGAAGGCAAACCAACCTTCTTATATAAGAATAGTTGAAAAATGTTTTTTAAAACAATAAATCTTACAGATTCCAGAAACAAAATGTCCAGAATACACCCTACCTTGAATCATGAGCAAATGGCCAAAAGAAAACAGGAAAAAGCCAGGAATTGAGAACAGTAAATCAGTTTTCCCAGCGAGAATATAATCTAGCACAGGATTATTACAAAAAACAGAAGGAACGAAGCACAATCAGTTCATGGTGCACAGTTTCACTTCTCATTAAGGATTTCTTGGCTTGAACTGTATTTTGAAGTTCTCTTCTTAACCCAAGGCTCTTGTAAATAACTAAGAGTATGATCAGAGTGGCAGCATAGAGCAATTCCGTAACTGGCTATGTTTGAATGCTGGTATACCTGAGGGCAAGTTTCAACCTCACAGTTGCATCATTTTGCTCTTGAAGAGATACAAACCTTGTAAAGTGGTTAAGAAGATTCAGAACAACTAGAAATCAGTTTGACCAGTGTCTGATAAATTATAAGCGCTATGTAAGCACTTTGGGAGCATAGTGGCTCTGTAGGATAAGCACTGGACTATGAACCACAAGGTTGTTGGTTTGAGCCCACCAGCTGCTCCATGGGAGTAAAATGAGGCTTTTTGCTCTAACAACGATTTGCAATCTCAGAGACCATATACTGAGTCCTTATGAGTTGGAACCAACTTAATGACACTTAATAACAGGAGCAACAACATAAGCACTTGCTTAAAACTTAAAGTATAAACTAGTTCAATACTTAATTCAATTTTCTTCACTTTCCTAAAAATTTTAAGACTTTATTCAGCTTGACTTGATTAGATCTAAAGTAGACCTAAATCGGGAAAGGTGATTGATGAAAACACACTGAAGTAGATCAGGCATGACACACATTTGCTGGAAAGGGCAGAATAATAAACAGTTTTGACTTGCTTTATCACAACAACTCAGCTGGGTCACTGTAATATAAATGTGATCATAGACAATCCATTTAAAAATTAGCATGGCTGTATTTTAATAAAACCTTAGTTTGTTGGAAATAAAATCTGAAATTAGAACTTCATATCATTGTCATCTGCTCTGATACAGTCTTTTCCTTCTTTTCCCAACCATAAGAAAATGCAAAAACCATTTATAGTTCAAAGGCCAAGCAGAAACATGCAGCAGATGACTGAATTTGGCTTATAGGCCATGCTTTGTTAATCTCTAGTATTGCTTAAAAATAGAAGTTTTAAAACACTAAGTTTAGTGATTATAACTGTACACACCATGGTTTTTCTGCCAATCAAATGAAATCTAGCATTAATACAGTTATTCTAAGGCTTTTTTAGTCCATAAATTAAAAGAGGTAGCAAATGATACTATTTATACAGTGAGACGGGAGAAGTGCTCATTGGTTTATTAATTTCCACTTCACACCATTTTGCAGCATAAGTGACACTGGTAAATGTCAATTACATTTTGTTAGCTCTGAAGGGCTTTTCATTTTAAGGTTAAAAGCCCTAAAGGGCAGGCTATTGTTCTAGTGTGATGTTACATATTCAATATACTTTGTAGCCAATACACACTTTCCTGACAATTTAGGAAAAACCTTTTCTCTAATAAGATGAGAATACAATAATTTAATTCTTTGTTGTAAATGGTAACAAATGTTAAGATGAAATTCTATGTAGAAAACAAAGCATGGACCTCTATTTAATTCTAAACTGGAATTTTTGTTGCTGCTGTTAAGTGCTGTCCAGGGGAGTTCCCACCCATAGTAACACTATATAGGGTTTCCAAGGAGTGGCTAGTGGGTTTGAACCACCAACTTGAGGATAGGCGTACAATTTATCCTGGAGTACCACACAAGGACTTCAAATTAGATAGTTTTGCCTCTCAAATATTCCTTCAATACAATAAAAACAAAAGACCAATTCTTCTAATACAAGGCACCTGCAGAAAGTTCATGGAAAAATGAAATTAAAAAACAATGGAATTTTCATGACCTTTCTCAAGTCCCTTCGGAAGTCTGACTTCCTCATTCACAAAAGAGGACTGAAATTTCCCTTATATCCAAAAATTTATTTTTGGTTACTCCAATCCCTCTGCCAATTTTGTCAACTCAGTAGTTAAAGATGGAATTTGAAAATTAAATGTCTCAGCAGCAGAGTAATTACCGAAGTGCCTGCCTTTCATATAGGTTCCTAGATGAGCTGGGTAAGTGCCATCCCAGCAATAGGCTCCAAACACTAACACTGAAAAAAGAGCAAACCTCAAAACCTGCATACATAAAACAATATTCAGGCAAGGGAAAAGATTTTGTTCTTTCATTTTTACCATTTATAATAAAAAATGACTGCAGTCATGCATTAACATGGCTACCACAAGTTGAAATATTTTTACCTGGGTATTATCAACCATGTGAAGGTATTCAGCTGTGTGGATCATAACAAATTATGGATAAACATTATGGAGACCACAAAATTCCATTAATACTTATTTGTGGTCATGTGAGACCTTTGCATGGATCAAATGACAGTACTTAGAATGGTTTACATTGGAAAAGGTGTGTGTTGTTGTTTTTTGGTGCCATCAGTTGATTCCAACACATAGGGAGCCTATGGACTACAGAAGAAACCACAGCCAGTCTTGTGCCATCCTCACAATTGTTCTGTTTGGCGTCTTCCTCTTTTTCACTGATCCTCCAGTTTACAAAGCATGATGTTCTCCAGGGACTGGTCTCTTCTGTTTGCTGCTGTTATTAAGATGACGAGTTGGTACTGACTCATAGCGACCCTATGCACAACAGAACTAAATACTGCCTGATCCTGGGCCAACCTCACAATTGTTGCCATGCTTGAGCCCATTAATACTGCCACTTTGCCAATCCATCTCACTTGC